TTTGGGTTGTACGGCTCGAGCTGTGGATCAGCCGAGTACACTGCAAAGATCGAACTGAAGAGACAGGGAGTTCTTCTGGGACAAAACCTCAGCAAATACTTTTCTGATGGCTCCAGTAACACATTTCCAGTCTGGTTTGAGTACCCTGTTCAAATAGAGCCGGACACCTTTTACACAGCCAGTGTGGTGCTGGACGGGAACGAGCTGAGCTACTTTGGGCAAGAGGGCATGACAGAGGTGCAGTGTGGGAAGGTCACCTTCCAGTTTCAGTGCTCCTCGGACAGCACTAACGGGACAGGGGTGCAGGGTGGACAGATCCCAGAGCTGATATTCTACGCCTGACAACTACTGTAAACTGTACAGATGTCCATGCACTGTCAAACTTATACTGCATATTGTCACTTTGTTCTTCTGATTTGTCTCACTGCTGTGAAGTGATGTTAAAAATTGCCCAAAAAGGGCTTCATGTATGTGCTTTTTGTAATTGTCCATTTGAGGGACAACAGAATATTTTATTCAAACATATCAGATGATAAAATAAAACATAAAACAATTGTACATAATGTGCATGTACATAAGAATATATGTAAATATAAAATGTACAGTATATGAAGTTAGGTTGTGGTCAAAGCTGGCCACTCAGATATCTCCTATATATGCTCCAGTATGTTTATGATTTCTATGCTTGCATAGAAGGCACATTTAGCAGCAATACTAATAAAAGTACATTTATTTTTATTTATTTTGTTTATATGGTTAAGGTTATGACCAGCAAACACTGAACTCAAAAAACAGCCATCACATAATTTATTTACAGTATACATTAGACGTGACAAGTACAAACCAGCAGCTTGTATTAGACTTGAATAGTGATCAAGCACTTAAATAAAGTGGTTCTTAGATAAGAGCACTGCACAGAGGCACAGCCCACTACACCAGTCCATAAATATATTATTTAATGTATTGTTTATAAAGACACGTGGCCATATGTACAGTGTTTTCACAGTTTGATTTGAAGTTTGGCAATTTTATCATTCATGGGTATCACTGATTGTTCAAGCACGTTTGTTTACACTGGAGGCCACTTGTCCACTGAAGATGCTGTTTATGAGACACTACATTCTTCTAATGCCATTCTCAGCTACAGGATCGCACTAATAATGAAAATGTTTATTTTCCAATCATACTGAATACTTTCCACAGGTTTATAGTGGATGGACAACTGTCTTGTGTTTACTTGATCATTTACTGGGAGACCAACGAATGTGTATGATTGTCTATGATGCAAATAAAAAAAAAAACAAGTTATAGACGTCTTTCTTGTTTTTCATCCCATCTGTAAAATGTTCTTTCTATCTCAGCCACACTTTACAAATGTCTAAAAGCTGTAGATGGGAACAGATGATGGCCCTCAGCGATGTGGTAATTCACATTGCCAAGAAGAGCTGTCTGTTGATTGATGATTTCTGCTTTTATGCCACTTAAAACCCTTCTTTTTTGTGGCTGATAATCTCTGGCTGAATTCCCCATCACATTGAGCTATGCAGCAATATTATACCTCACATTTTGAAATATGAATTTTTATGTGCGACAGCTTTGAAGAATGGTTTTCAGATGCACAATCATTCCTGCTGAATTGCGAGGAAGAGAGAGGCCAAATGATAAACAGTGTTGGATTTTAAAAGTTGACGGGCATAACACACATTTCTTTGGCTGGTGACCGAAGCATCTGTGTAAATGTTCTTTATTCTCTAGAATTGACTTGATCCATATGACAGTTCGGGGAAGGCAAAGACAGACTCAGAAGCACATGGTTAGACCCAGTCAGCTGTTATGTTGTAAATAATAAAACATATAACACATAACTCTTTTTTTTAAATCACATCTGCCATTTTTTAAATCAAAACATAATGCATTTCTCTTACAGTTCATTTGACCTGTATCAACTCTGTTTCATAGTAATGAGACTGCCTTGACCAAAGAGACAAACTACATCCGTCACTGATGCAGGAAAGTCTCAGTGTTAGTTTTACCTGACCTGAGAGTGGCCTTCAATACTGTTGATCACAAGATCCTTTTAATGAGCTGGTGTGTATATCTGGCACTGCCCTAAACTGGTGTAGATAATATCTGATGGATAGGCATCACAGAGTGTGCTTTATATCCAATGGTACTGACATGTGGAGTTCCCCAAGGGTCAATCCTAGGTCCCCTCCTATTCAATTTCCATATGCTGCCATTGGGCCAGCTCCATCCATCTATGATTTAAAAAAACTGACCCACCAGAATTATGCAGATTATACTCAGATCTTTGCTTCTCTGTCACTGAATGACTATGGGCCATTTGAATCACTCTCCTACTGCATCCAACAGATCAGGGAAACCATGTGAGACTTTCTTCAACGTAATCCTGATAAAACTGCAGACGCTCACAGAAGCAAAGAGTGTCAACAGCTACCCATGCAGTTTCTCTCTCTAAAACCAAGAGATGAAGTTAGAAAATCTTGGGGTAATAATGAATTCAGACTCATCATGTTACACGTCATTCTAATGCAAATTCTATCAAAAAAGATTATGAATATAAAGACTACCCCAAGCAAACCAATATGAATCTAATACTAGACAAAGTTGTGGTTCCTGACCAAAATGAGTTTGACCATGGGGTACGTGAAAGATTGCCCTGTCTCTGCTGCTGTAGGAGGTTTACAGGGCATAGAAGTAGTGAAGCGTGGAAATGTCAAAAATTCTGTGTAAATGCAGCATTTGAATCCCCCCTATCTTGAGGAAACATGCAAACACTTCCACTTGAACCATATTTGAGGGGTATTAGACCTTGTTTATGCATGACAGAGCCTGGGATGCACCGTGTCTTCAGAGGTAGACATATTTATCTTCAAACAGAATGCTTCTGCTCTCCAGACACAGGTATTTGATTTGCATGGTCCCCGAAAGAGAGCAGGTTCGGAACCAAGCAGAGACTGAGTTTGACACAGGCAATGAGCAAAAAGCCCAAGATGAATAGTGTTGGAAGTATCGGGGGACTGCTTGTTTCAGAGTGATTTTTCATGATTGTGTGGCACTAATGTTGTAAGCAAGATCATTAATTGTGCCGAGGCAGCGGGGAACAAGATGCACCAGGAGTTCAGACTGTTTCCAGCAAAAACACAGATATTGGTGTGACTAAAAAGTCCTAAAGTTGTCTGAAATAAGGTTTTAAACAAACAAAGGCTACTGATGAACCAGAAATGTGAAAAAAAGCATTCAAATACTCCCAGTAGATCAACAATCAGTAATTCTAATTCTGAATCAAACTAATTACTTGTTTGGTTTTATCACTACTTTCAATTTGTGCAGTTTTTGGCTGATGGTAGATCAGCCTCACTCTTAGCTCTTTCTTATAAAACATAACATATGTACTGACAAGAGGAAAACAGCATGTACCAATATCTATAATAATCATATAGAGACATACAGTATAGGCCAAGCTAATGGATTGTATACCATTCAACAACCATTCCCAATACACTAAATAATGACTGAAAATGTATGAAAAGCTTTTACCGGCATGAATGTGACGCAGGCCAATCCACAGTGCTCTATACAATTCCATAGCTCGGCTGCTAATTATATTGAAAAATAAACACATAAAGAAAATCTGTTGGCGTCACACCACTGGGAGTAGTGTTGGATCTCGATACTGATGATGGTAAAAATTCATGACAAACTTAATCACATGTGGTTATGAATAATTGAAAATGTTTATAATTGCACTTCTCATCAGACTATAGATGAGGAGTGCATGCAATATTTATCACCAAAATGAACTTGTAAAATCTACTGGAAATGAATGGAATGAGGAAGAAGCAAAGATGGTGGGTGACACAGCCTGGGTGCAGTGTTGGGGAAAGCTTTATTGAGGGTTTAATTACTCTTAAATACAAATTAGGGATGAAAAGATGGGGTTGACTGCAGAGGACTCTGGATTAAACTGATCTTAAAGTTATCTCGGTTTGTGCCAGAAGCAGTCCGTTAGAAGAACATTGTGAGTGTGTGTGTATTTTTTTCCATAGACCAAAATAAAACCATCCATCCATCCATTTTCTACCCTTTAATCCATTTCTGGGTCAGGGGGTGGCAGTCAGAGATGCCACCCAAGTCTCATAGCACCAGCCCCTCACTGATCCTCTGCAGGTGGTGAGTCCACAGAAGGACGGCTGCTCTCTGAGTGTGAGCATAGCCTTGATCTTTCAGTGTACAGTAAAACCTTGTTCTTTAATTTGAAAAATACTTCTTTGGAAAAACAATTTGAGCCAGTGTGCTTTTATGTAATATTATTTTACCCAAATCTGTGATATTACTATGGCAACAACAACCTCCACTGCCTTTTGCGTTGTAGAAACTCTAAGAACTATTCCTAGCCCCAACACATCACCCACTACAAAGCTGGAGGTATAGATGACATGTCTTGGTCAAGGGCACAACATCAGTGAGGGTTTCAGGTTTGTGGTGCTCCTCATATGGTTTCCTCAGTGCTCGACCATCACTATACAGTGGGTAAAGGAGCGGATGATTTTATTAGCTTTATAGTATATTTAGCATTTGATATTTCCTCGGAATTTAAAAATAACATAGAAAAAACCAATATGAATCCATCTGAGCACTGCAGGCAGTCAAAAATCCACTCTTGATAATTTCCTTCTTTGCAAAATGTCAATGAATGAATAATGTGCAACAAGGGGACGGAAACACAGCTGTGGTTTTCAAGAATTCATCAAAGAAAATTATTTAAAAATATGTTATTTAAATCGATAGCACACCAATGATATGATTTTTTTTCCTCCAAACCTCCTCTACAGCCATATGGAGTATGTGTTGCTGCTATTGATGAAACATGCTACCCCCATAAGCCGTGCAGCGCAATAGGAACATTCCGCAAGGTCTGCTCAAGGTTGCAGTGAATTGCAGTAATCCAGACACATGTAAAGGTATCAGAGCCCCCCATGGTCCAATTGCATTCACAGGCGCTGGGCGGTCGCCGGCGAAGAAGGAGGGGGGTGGAGCAAGATAAAGACGGGGAGAAACAGGTAAGGGGTGAATGGGCCTGACTAGCATTCACGAAAAGTGGTCGTTCCCATGATAATTGTGCCGAAGGTTATTAGTGGGCAGTCAGAGTGGCAATTAATCACAAGAAGGATGACAAAAAGGTCACGCAGGTCGGAGTGAAGGAGCAGGTGAAGGCAAGGGACAAGACGGATGATGACTGGGGTAGACTCTTGTGCCAGAACGCTCCTGCCATGCTAAAGACCCCAGATGCCTCGGATTGTATGTAAAGTCCAGGAGCTTAAATGTGGCCGCTCAATTTGTTAGGAGTGTGTGGTCGTATTCGGGTTACATTGATTGTTGTAATACATATGAAGTGCCAGGATAGCAGAACAAAGCGAGAACTCAAAAGCAGAACTGCAAATAATACAAGATTTAATGAATGCAACTCAATAACAAAAACCAAACCTTGAAAAATCAGGGTAGAAAATCAATGGACATACAACAAGAGGGGAGAGGAACACGGGATGAATACACACAGGTGGGGCAGGCCATTAACTGAACAGACAGAAGGTAGAACAAAAACAAAAAAACAGGTAATATAAAAAATCAACAAAAAGTCAACACCATGACAGAAATACTATAACCAGTTTGAAGAAGATGGGAGAGAAGTGTAGGGTTAGAGAGTGTTTGGGCCTGTCTCTTGTCTGCATGTGTGTGTGTTTGCGTGCGTTTGCGTGTGTGTGTGTGTGTGTGTGAGGGGCTGGGCCAGAAGAGCTTTGTCCAACTACTTTTCCAACTGCTTATTTCTGTTTATGTTGTATCCTGTGGATTTTTAGTTGAGTTTTTGAAATAAATATATTTGGAAGACATGCAGAATGTTCAAACTTAAAGCAGATACCAAAAATGTGTAAAAACCTGAAAAACAATAACGTGATGCTTGGCTTGGTCAGGATGAGAGCTCGAGGATTTTTGTCTAATGTAAATAATTCTAGTGGGAAAGGAAACCGCAGCAACCGTAGGAAACTTACACTGACATGGGGTGAACATGCAAACTAAAATTAGCTTGTAGCTACGTCAGGTCTGAACAATACATTTATTGTGCAATGTCCCGGTCAAATAAAAAAATAAAAGCAAATAAATAGACTGGTATAGGTTATCATTTGTGTATTTTTTCCACTGCCTGAAATATGTCTTAAGGTTATATTTTAAGGGGCGACAGTGGCTCAGTTGGCCGAAGGCCAATGCTCTACCTCTGCGAAGGTTGTGGGTTCAAGCCCACCACAAGACCTACTTCACGCTTCCCACTGATGACTGCTGTCGTTGTGTCCTTGGGCAACACACTTAACCCCACTTTGCCTGGAAGCCCCTTCTGAAAGATCAAGGCTCCTGTGGACTCACCAGATGCAGAAGGATCAGTGAGGGGCTGGTGCTCTGTGGACTGGGTGCAGCTCCGGCTGCCACCCCTCCAACCCAGAAATGGATTAAGTAGTAAGTAAGTAAGTAAGTAAGTAAGTTTTTATTTATATACCGCCTTTTCACTGCAGATCTGAGTCTCAAAGCGGTTTACAATTGTTAATTTTGGGCATTTGTCTCTCACTCCACACAGAGATGGGAGCGGGGCCAGTACAGGAGGCGCATGCTAGAACTATTGGACATATTTTTAGTGGTAGGGGAAACCGGAGCACCCGGAGGAAACCTACGCAGACACAGGGAGAACATGCAAACTCCACTCAGAAAGGCCCTGGTCCGACCGGGATTCGAACCCAGGACCTTCTTGCTGAGAGGCGAGAGTGCTATCCACTCAGCCACCGTGCCGGGGAAGAAAATGTATGGATGGATGGATGATTACATTTTAAACCACTGACTCATGTCTTATCCATGGACCCCCCCCCCCCCCCTTTCTGTCTTCCCCACTCTGTATTTGTTTTCCTGTGGATCGACTCTTGCCATTGTGTCCCATTTATCTATTTACTTATTCATTGCCACCAGGCAGAAAGCTAAATTGTTCGAATGGGGCATTGAAGATCTGGCTTTTGTGTTAGACCAGCCTGTTCACAGCGACGTCGCTCGCCTCCAAATGAATCAATACGACTCTTCTGACTTGCGAAGGTAAGCACAGTTTGTCACGGCTGTATTATGATAGCAGACAAGAGTGAGATATACTTTTGGTGGACAATACCGGCTATTCAGTGTGCTTAAAATAATAATAATAAAACGTCTCTGCATGCAAATAGAAATAGTCTTCCAACGGCAGCGAGGTAAATAACCTGTTTGTATAATTGTTTGTTTGGCCCTGCACGCAGAAGGATATGGGCTCTGGCATGAGGCGTTGGAAATTGTTGGGGATGCATTATGTAAATCAAGCTATTTATTTCCTCAACTATAGTCTCGTATACCTGTCAACCACTGCCGGAGCGAAGTCTGATCAAAACAGCGCGTGTTGGCAGCTTCCTGTTGAGATGAGGTGATGAGGGCTGAGTGTGCTGCTTTGGGTACGCGCCTCTCTATGTCCTCTAAAGGCAGAGCTGCTGTGGCTTTGATAGTATGGAGGCAGAGGGCCCTTCTCTCTCTCCCCAGGGTCTGATATAATGAGAGAGCTTACTAAACATGATACGCAGCAGCTCTCCCATAAGCTCCTTGAAAAAGACTCGGAAGGACTACCACAAACTGCTCTGATTCATCTCTGCATTTGCTCAATGCGTGTGCTGGCTAATATGTACTGAAAAGATACTGAGTTAAGCAAATAGGGCGAGTTTGAAAGCCTTGCCCTGTTAAAGATGTCCAACAACAATATTTCAGACTATGGTAAAGCAAGGTAGTGTAGATACTTGATTTTATTTATTCAAGCAGAAGTTTTTACAACATTTACATTCCTTAGTTTACATGACCTTCTGTACATGTTGCCTCTGCTGTGCTTACAGTACATACCCACACATGCAAATATATAAACATAAATCCACAATCAAACAGCAGTATTTACCCTAGTTTCACCATGCGTTGCATAATTACAGTTTCACTAGGTATTTACAAATGTTGTAAATTTGTCACCTCAAAATGGAGTGGAAAGATTTTTTTTTTAAATGGACTCCCACTCCATTGACATAATTAATTTTTGTTATTTAGCATTGAATAATATATCGTATAAGATATTTGTGTGTTCAAATATTGGACTATTTAAAGTGTCCATTATTAGGAATCAAAATCTGATTTAGATTCTAAGTCTTTCTGAATCAGAGAAATTCGCCCTACACTTAAATCTGACGTACCTAATTTTCAAAAGATTGATAAAAGAAATGAATAATAAAATCTATCAAATTTGTGTTTGGTTCTATCACTATAGTTTCCACATGCATGTGTTTTTGGGAATCTGTCACGTCTTTAGATCAGCTTTTTCAGACAGAACATTGGGTAAACAAGAATACCACCCTCACTCAGCCAATCAGCTCTGAGCCCAGTAAGTCAAATAGTGACTCACAAGGCTCTTGTCTAGATTTCTAAGGTTTGTGTTGTGGTCTGATATGTTCACAAGATTGTACGTTTACCCTTTCCGTTAGGACAAACACAATGCATTATTCAGGGGGTTGGAGTTGAATGAACGTATGGAGTGAATGAATATCGAGTAAAGTGCTATATAAAACCAATGCATTATTAGTAGATTTGACTTGGGTCTCACCAATGTATCCCAAATTTTTACAGTTTCAGGCTGATTTAGTCTTATGCAGCACACAATGATCTCACATCACTTGTGCACAAAGAAACTGACAAACTGCAGATTGTAGTGATTGCATTCACTGTTCTTGCCGTTGTAAAAATCATGGGGAAATAATAATTGTTTGGTTTGCACTGTGCCATTTAGTCCTGTTCTGCGACTATCTGCTCGTGGATCTCAACACAGCTGAACACAGTGATAATGGAAGGAGAATTTGTCAAGCTAATCTGAAATATCTGCAGTCAGCACAACTATTGTGGTTTGGAAAATATTGACAGATGTTACATGTTTTTGCCAAAGGCTTCTTTAATATGTTGACGTAAATGCGGCAACATGGCAGAATGTATAACACTAGACAGAAGGGATATCGACCTATAGAAATAGAGCTGTGATTTATCAAGTCAAATAAGCTGTTGGAAGAAGAGCATCTGGTCTTTCCCTTAATATGAAAATCGGTTCTCATTTCAAATCACCATGCAGCCAATCCCCTTATAGACAAAGTTAGAAGGCTTGCAGAACTACAAACATAATGATTACAATAATTTACCATTTTCATTTAATAATAATTAGGGCTGTCCAAAATAGCGCGTTATTAACGCGTTAACGCAAATCAATATTAACGCCGTCATTTTTTTTATCGCGCAATAAAAAAAATAAAAAATATTTTTTTTTTTTTTTTTTTTTTTTTTTTACTTTTTATTGCAGACAAACACATATACAGAAAAAAAATAGAAACAAAGAAAAGGACTAGTTCAGATACATTGTAGACAGAGATTACAAACAATATGTAGTTGGAGATACAGGGGACCAAAGAAGAAACCCAGAAGGGCACATAGGAGGGGAGGGGGGGGGGCATGAAGTGGGAGATGGGGGGAGGGGTTAATAAAAAAGGCAATACAAGCAAACAGTATACAGTCATAGATATACCGAAGGTAAACAGAGAACATGAACAAATTTACAAAATATTTACAGATTGTTTATCATCATCATAATGACACCATGATGTTTCTATACAGTCTATGGTCTATACCCACACATACACACACACACCCACACACACACATTGAAGGGGCTTTTTGTTACCAATTATTTATTTTGTCATCCATTTATTGATGATTTTGCATCAAATGTTAGTGTGTAATATAACACTACACATTGTTTTCAATAAAAAAAGCAATTGCACACAGCACGCAAATGTGTGACTAATTTGCGATTAATCGCGAGTTAACTATGAAATTCATGCGATTAATCGCGATTAAATATCTTAATCGTTGGACAGCACTAATAATAATAATGCATTGGATTTATATAGTGTTTTTTGGACACTCGATACATGGTGGCGACAAACTACATGGGGCACACTGATAGAAGTGAGGCAACCAATATGTGCCATCAGCCTCTCTGACCACCACCAGCCATTCACGCACAGACCAGACTCATTCCAGACAATGGGGGTGAAGTATCTTGCCTAAGGACACAACAATAGTTTGGCACTTTACAGCCGCAGCCGCCGCACTGTGGCACCTGTTGTTTTCAGAGGTCTCCCACCACAGTACTAACCAGGCCCTGCCCTGCTTA